CTCAAAGCTTCTTTTTGGTGAAGTGCTTTTTCCAAGAGTTTTTTTATTAAATGGAGAATGGTAGCTATAAAATGTAAGCAGCAAAATGGACTTAAGATTTGAATCCTTCTTCACAATTTAAGATTTTTTTACTCATATTAGATAAAGAGCAGTTAATACAAATCCTTCTAGAAATTATTTTACTTTATCGAACAGTGTTTTTCTGTAATTTAAGAAGTAACCAGCTTATGCATTTAGTAACCTTGAATGATATTAACTGCCAATTATGATTTTATAGTTTGGTTTTTTTGCAAAAATTTTATATATTTCTGTATTCTATATATTTCTGCCAACTTACACCAAAGTATTGGTTTTACCGTGAACCCTTGTATATATTCTACAGACAGAGGGCAACATTCAATAGTAACATAATTTCACCTATCCATCCTACTCTGTGATTCCCACAGGCCAGGTTATCTCCCAGAAATCCTTTTAAATTGTAACAAAGACATTTTCCTTAAAACTGATGGTATAGAATAGTCCCCTGTAATTTTTCATGTTATTTATATAATTTCTCCGGTAGCACACTGTGCTATTATATGCTATAAATCATATTTTATTTTGGAAAGAACTGCTGGTGGTGTTATTTTTAGGTCTAACTCTACTTCTGCTGATATCCAATCCAGCTAAGAAAATAGCTGTAGGAACATTTAAAATCTCACATACCGCATTGGGATGACATCCACATTACGAATGTTTTGGGAACAGCAGCACTATAAGAGTAAAAAATACACCACTGCATAAAGATTATGTGTCCTGAACATATACATAGCTGCACTTTTAAACTACTGAGAAATGAGAAAGGGGATTTACTTTTCCTAAGCACGATTTCTGTGGCCTTTTTCAGGCCAAGTAAATTGCCACAAATTACATTTACATGACATTTCAACCTAGTTACAGTCAAATCCATTGGAAAATACAGTATCTGACACCAACAGGATTTCAGAGGTACATTACATTACACAGAAGCCTGTAACTTCTATTTTTTTCCAAAGACCAAGAGTATACTTTTCTTTTACAGAGCTGTTATTACATAACCCAGAGTTGAATGCAGAAATGGGAATTTTAACCTTAGAAAAACTGCCTATTTTCTTTGCTTCATGCTTTAAAACGTTCATAACTGAGCAGTTAAAAATGGACCAGTAGAAAACGGTAGAACCGATCAAGTATTTTTACTGGGGTACGAAGTCATTTAGACAGTAAATAAAGGAAATTTGGTCAACGAAGCGGCAATGTGACATCTGGTGTGCAGTTTCACAGTCTTAGGGCATCATTCTGCTTCTCTCTGGTACCAGCATGAATCAGGAGTAACTCATGTAAATTAAAAGCACACCCCAAAGTGGTGTGGAGTCAGGAGGAAGCACTCTGTGTTCCAGTCTGTGTTCCATATCTGACTTAAGAGATTGGCTCATTTACAGAGCCCTACATTAGACATATTGCCTTCTTGTTTTAAAATATGTGTGTTTAATATTTAATTTAACAGAATTCCATATTCCAGTCTCTGTGTACTGTGCAAGTCCCTTTGAGGCTCGTGGTTTGTATGTGCAGTCACAATTCTCCTCAAGTGTAATTTGGAAGCACCATTACCTAATGGAGTGAAAGGAAGTATCTGGCTCTGATTAATCCTGGTTCTCTTTGGAGTGAGTAATGAAAATAATGCCCAGCCAGTGTCAATTTGTAAAGTGGGCTGTAGGAGTTGAGCCAGGCTGTCCAAAACTCATTTATTGTGCATGTCCGTGGAATACTGGTGGAGGTACAGGTCTCATCAATTGTCCACACACTTCAAGCACACACAGGAATTTGAACTACCAGCTTCAAATGACAACACACTCCAAAATTTTGCCAGCTCTTCAAAATTGATTATAATGCTACACACATAGCTATTGCACATGAGACTGAATAAGTATCATAAAATAGGCACTGTAAATGTAAAATGTGCCTGTGCTTATATTTTCACAGAAATATAAAAATTGTTTTAAATGATGTTTTGCTGTGAAATATTGTATAGTAATTGCTTAGAGGAGAGACACCAATTATATGCAAAAAAAGTAATTCCACAATTTTAAAAAGTGCTCACAGATTTTGAACTTCTGATCTATTGGGGCAAACCAAAGAATATCTGAAGTTATCCAAGACCAATAACAGCAGAATGAAAATAGCAGTTTAAATGGTACCTGGGTGGCCATCTCAGCTCACTTGCAGGAGAGACTATTTTCAAGAACATTTGGCACAACTAGAATGTGGGATAGCTCTCAGAAGTAAAGAATATAAACATTAAAAGGTCAAAAATAGTACAGCTAAGTTATCCATTTAAATGGGAATGGGAAACTTTGCCATTTGGCTCTGAACCATTTTGTCATTCTCCATCCTAATGACAATTACATGTCCCATACCGATATTTCACTTTCAATTTTCATAGAATTAGTGATAGTATTTCAGGAGTTAACGGAGGCAGAGTACTTTCTTTAGAGAAGATATGAAATTAGATTAGAAATTAGATTGCCTTGAAAACATTACATGCAGCAAAATGTACACTCAGAAAGCCTCTAGGAATAATCCTCTAGGCATGGCTTCTTGTGACTTGAGTTTTACTTTTCCACAACAAAGAAAAATAAAAACCAAACCAACACAGCTCCAAAGATCTGTGGTGAGATTCTGCCATCTCCAAGAAACACAGCTCAAAACCACATAATCCAGAAGTGAAATTGTTTTAAACACTTCCCCATCTTCCCAATCACAGACTGCAGCAGGGGGCTGTGAAATTCCCCTGGAATGAACCCGAGGGGACCAGCAGCTGCGTGGCAGCTCAACAGATGTGCTGCAGCCTTCCCCTTCCATGTTCTCTCTCCCCAGCCCCGTGCCCAGCATGAGGAATCCAGGGTTTGTCCTCAGATGGCACCTTTAAAATACCTTTCCCCATGTGCTGCCAGGGGTATCGTCCCTTGGCCAGGAATAGAGCTTCTCAGGGCCTCTTTATGCCAATCTGATTCCTCTTATCTTACATAAGGGGCCAGGGCAGGGACAGAGCTCTCTTTCTTAGCTCTAAATCCATCCTATATGTCACGCAATTCTCCAAAGTACAGCCAGCTTCTGCTTTTATGGAGCACTGTGCAGTGAAGAATGAAGGATCCTGTTTTTCACCACTTAAAGATGTATGATAGCAACAAAGCTCTATGCTAAAATATTTAACTCGCAGAGAACTTATGGAAATTGTCTATTCAAGCTCAGCAAAGACATTAAATTACCAAGCTGTTCTAGGACAGTTGTGTGTGGAGAAAAGCCAGAAATGCTCTGAGATTGTAATGTTGCTCACAAAGATTACAGCATGAGCCGGATTCAGAAGTTTTTTTATACAGCTTGGGGAGCTGCAAAATGTTACCATATCAATTTCTGCAAAACATACTGTGTGTGTACATATAGATATAAAAGCAGGACTTATACACAGCACATTTCCTGCCACATTTTGAGTGGCATCTGTTTGTTTAGTGTGCTGAAATATGAAAAATAATATTTAGCAACTACTGGTAACAAAATGTTAACAAGATTTAAGAGTATAGCTCTGTCTGTCAAAATGCAGATAAAAGACAAATCCTTCAGTCTCTGTGTTTTAATCAGTCAGATCAGAGGTTTGGTGAATATGCAAATGAGACTGTTTTTACACTAGTTTCAGAGTGAAAGGAAACAAATTCAGTTTCATTATAGAATTAATGACAGCTCTGTCCTCTAAGATTAATAATTAAAGCCCTGCACACATTAAGATGATAGTGCTCTTTCCGCCCAGCCTCTGCAGATTTTACTTTTCTATTTTTTAATACCCCTTTCCCTTATAATTGTTTGTCCCCCTAATTGGAATGATTAATAATTAATGACAGTTCATGGATATGCAGTAGTCATCTTTAGAACAAGAAGTGTACTTAACCTACAAAAAGGGTTAAAAAATTACTTTTTTTTTAAATTCTGGTTTTACTCTTGTCTGTAAGTTTATTTTTTCTCCAAGTTTTATGCCACCATTGGAATCTCAATGGCCTGCTTTAATGGTGGAAGCCTTTCATTTGTTTCAGTGCAGGATATAAATATTATTTCATTTTGATGTTCACAATATATGCTGGGTTTCTTTTCAAAGCCCCTGCTGCTGGGATCAGCAGCTTTCACAGCTTTCTGATTCTGAAACACACACTACAAGTTTTGACCAAATGAAATCTCAGAGAAAAGATTAAGAGTGTGGTACAAGTGCATTATAAAGTCTGAGAAAGCAAAAGTTTAAAAGAAAAAGAAAAGAGAAAAGAGATTTGAGATATTATTTTTTAATCTGATGATTTCTGAGTTGACATGGGAGTGGCTGACTCATGCTTGCCAAATCCCCTGGACAGGCAACATTTCAGAGGAAGATTATAACAAAGTGAACAGAATTTCAGCCTTACCATTAACTCTCCTTCCTGCTCCAGAAGAACGATGACACTTCATTTTATGTGGCCATTAGGATCTACACAGAGACCACTAAATCCCTTCTAATTGCAAATGACCAAAGCATGAATTTTTAAGAGAAGAGAGTTGATTTGTGCATGTTTTGCATTATTTTATCAAGAAAAGTTGTCTTCTGGGTCAAAAACCCCATATTTCTTTCTGAACAGAAAAGCACTTCCAGAAAGACAAATGGTCAGAGTACTCTAAAAATCACATTTCTTCAATAAAGCTGTTTCAGTTTAATCTTTTAATGTCTATAGAGGTGAACTGATCCTACACAGAATCTAGCATTGCTTTGACTCTTGCAAAGGAAATATTTTATATTAAATTAAATTAGCATTTGCCTATATTTCACCATGCAGGTACACTTCCTCCTGTGTCATTGATATCAATAAAACAAATATGTGTGTGTGGGTGCTTTAGCAAGGATGACGAATGATACTCTGGAGGCATTTAAGGGTAGATAAACACCCAAAAGGAAGCTGGCTGGTACTTACCACGCTGAGCCCCAGCAATTCCCTGCAGAAGTAGTCCATGTTCCTCCTCTGGAGGTTGTCCAGGTAGTGCTGAAGGCGAGTGTAGGTGTAGGGGTAGCAGTAGGCAAACTGGTAGGTGTCGTCCTCTCGGTCGAAGCAAAAAGCAAAGGACATGACATAGTTCTTCCTGTGGTCTGGGCAGCGGTAGTAATACACATTTTTGGAGGGGATTCTTTGCCTGAAAAACCAAAAACAAACAAAAAACCATGTCTTTAAGTTAATTTTTTCCTCCAAGTTTTATGCCACCATAGGAATCTCAATATGTATTAATTGATGCATATCGACATGGACATAAGAGATCTGATCTGTGTGAGATTCAGATTCCCTCCAAAATAAATGAAGCGGAGCAGCCTGAGCAGCTCAGGAGCTGGCAAGGAGATCTCAAAGCCTGTGTTTGGGAGCACCTGTGCAGACCAGGGCTGTGACAGCTCCAGTGCCACTTTCACCAGAGGGACTGCAGCTCTGCCTGGGTGCCCAGGCTGCCAGAGTCAGGGGAGAGCATCATACAACCAGGGAAACCCATCCCCACAAAGTGAAAAGGGAATGTTCAGGCTGCCCAAATATCCTCTACTTCACTACCAGGCTGCTGCCTCCTCACACCACTCATAACTCATAGATGGCTCCAGATAAACCTACACCCTTTCTCACAGGTTCAACTCACCAGCACAGAGAGAAGGCACAGCTAATGAAGGAATGTCAGCATAAGGCAACACTGACAAAACTATTACTGAAATTCAGAACACCTTTCCATATCTATCTGTCTGTCTATCTATCTATCTATCTATCTATCTACCTATCCCCTTAATAGTCAGGATACATATCAACATCTAGCCAATGAATGGAACAAAAGATAAATTCTTGAGGTTAAAAAACAAACAAACAACAAACAACCTAAAAATCATACAAGAAAACTTCAGGTATGGAAAATAATCAGGTCTTAAAATAGAAAGCAAAGGAGGAAAGAGTATTTGTCCCCATTCCAAACTGGACTGCTGCTCTCCTCAACCTTTCTGGTTTATCTGACAAAATAGAAATGAATATACATGATGATAAATAGTTATAATAAAGACATGTCATTGTTATCAAGGTGGTATCTCTTTGAGGAATAACAAATATCTGCCTGAAATCTCTCACACAACTCCAATTATTTTCTTACTTTTCAAGAGAAATAAATAATATTTCAGAGGTGAGGCAAAAACTCATTCTATGGATGAGAGATGTTCATTATTTCTGTTTGTATGCTTTGTTCATTTCTTGGGTGGCATTTCCAGCTTCATTCAGACACGAATAGTCTCCAGTCATGCCATGCACTTATAATTTGATGTAAGTAACTTACCAGTCATGTTTGGCAACAAAATGCAATGGTCCTGCAGACTTTACCTGATTCAATTACACTATCTTATAAACAGGTCTCATCCAGTGATTGAAGCAGATCTCAGCTAAACTGGGATCATGGTGAGGGAAAAGCATAACAAGATTTACAGACATAGCACCAGTAATGTGTGTCTTTGTAATCATTCCGAGAAGCTGGCCTGCTGCAGAGCCTCAGTTTTGGCCTCTCATTGCTAATATGAATTAGAGGACAAAGCCCACTCATTATAAACAGGTACATGGTTGCCAATTAGCAGCAGTTAACGAGTCTGACCAGCAAGGCTCAGGATCTACAAAGAGAAATGGAAAGGAATTGAGTTCTCGAGAAAGTAAAATAAAGAACCAGTGATGCAGTTAATTACACTCAGAAAAAGAATTTATCTGCCTTTTTTAATGCCCTGCTTCTTGAACATTCAGGACCTCAATAACTTCCTTCACCATCCTGACTGAACATGAGCCAGCTGTGCCCGGGTGGGCAGGAAGGCCAGTGGCACCTGGCTTGTGCCAGCAATGGTGTGGCAGCAGGAGCAGGGCAGTGACTGTCCCCCTGTCCTGGGCACTGTGGGGCCACATCTCAAATTTAGATTGGATATTAGGAAATATTTCTTCAATGGAAGGGTTGTCAAGCATTGGAAGAGGCTGTCTGGGCACGTGGTGGAGCCATCATCCCTGGAGGTATTTAAAGGATGTGTACATGTGGCACCTGGGGATGTGTTTTAGGGACAGCATTGTCAGTTCCAGGATAAATTTGGACTCAAAGATATTAAAAGACTTTTCCAAACTAATAAAATCTATTATTTTATGATTTTTTTTTTGTTGTTGTTAAATAAGGCATTTGTTCATCACTAAGATCTGCAAAATTTAACACACGAGTATAAAGGCAGAAAAACAAACCTTTTATTCTTTTTAAAAAAGTATCAGTAGGGAAAAAATGCCACCAGCCATCTGCAGGCAGTCCTCTTACCTAATGATTTTCTTCAGTATCTTAACATATTTCTATCATTCTCCCTTACTCTGGAGTGCTATAGGACATCCCTCATTTGATCTCAAATCAAGCAGATGATATGGCAGTGGGTAAATGTATTCCAGCTCCCAGTCCTCAAACCGTAATGCAAGTTTAAACAGTGTGTTGCTGAGTTGTTGAACTTTATTTGTTTCCAAATTAGCATGGGGGAAATAATAAAGGACAAGCCTCACTTTCTGCTATAAAAATTTCATGTAAAATGAGACCAAGAGGAGGAAATTCAGGATTTTAGAAAGGCTAATGCTAATTGAAATTCATCTGCTGATAGTTAATGTTTAAATGACACATAGTTCTCCTTGGTTCAATAACTTTCTACTTTTAAGCAAGTTGAAGACAACTTTGTTAATGTATTAAAGGCACTTTTGATATTTCATTCCCTTTCCCCTTCATTATAAAAGCTAAGCATCTGTTTTATTATCCACTTTGACACATCACTTTATGGCTGCATTTGGCTATTATGGCTAATCTTGATGTCTAGGACATCTGGTATTGACATTTCACTATCTGGTGTCTGACACAACAGCAGAAACCATCCTCAGTTCCTAGGTTTAAATTCACCCTCTCAGGGCAAAAAGTGCCCAAACTCTTAATTCAAACCGTATCTTCCAAAAATAATTATAATAGTACTCCTGTCACTGCTAATCTATTTTTATCTCTCCTAGCACTTTGTCACTGCTAATCTATTTGTGAGTCATACAGAGAAAGAGAGTTAGCATTTAGATACCAACAACACATCTTTACACACAGGAGCTTAATCAGATTGAGATCTTATCAGGGAATTAAAGAAGAAAAGAAAAAAGGGAAAGAAAAGGAAAGAAAAGAGACAAAGTGCTAGATATCACCAACTGAGTTTTTGATAACGAAAAGACATTGCTCAGTTCTTGAATTAACCTTTGTGTCCTAGACACACTATTGTTTACTCTTTCCCTTTTTTGTTCTATGCCTTCTGGAAAAGGACACCCACACACTGTGGCAGCAGCTGCTCCTATTAATTTAAAGCTATTACAAAAATTAAAATTAAACCCAATTACTTTGGCTGGTTTATAGCTGGGGAACGGCTTAGTCTGATTGTTCCCTCTGGTTATGGACAAAAACAATATTCCTACCTACAGGCAGCTGCCAGTGGAATACTAATGCATCTAGGGCCTGGCAGAAACAGATTCAGAATGCAGAGTCTAACTGCATTTCTTACTAAAGAAAAATATCTTATCATGGATCTGCAGAAATGCAACAACTTCTTAGCTGTGAGTCACAATGAAGCTGATTTGTAGTTAGAGGCAGGAAGGCAAAATGATGGTGGAAACCTCAGTGCTCTGATTTGTCCCTTTGCATTTCCAGGCAGCTCACCCTCAGCAATGCATCCTGCTAATTGACGCACAACTGCCTGGATCTCTGAGCTCCTGAGTGGTTATTTAAAGGAGAACCACCCCCATTCCAAGCCCAGCCACAGAGAATAATGTGCAAACAACTCATTTCCACTCTGTTTTCTAGATGTATTTAAAGAAATGAAGCTTGATACCATACATCAGTTTGACACAAATTCAGAATACCTAGTCTTAAACACAAAACTCTTTCTGTCCAAGGAAGAAGGAGGCACAAAAATGGAGAGTTTCTCTCTATTTTGATGCTAACAATCCAGTGCCAAAAGCTTGAGCCTTTGAGTGTCTTCTCCTCCTGCCTGACAAGGCAGCACACCCAACCCCAGTGGATTTGTTGCTCCAAGTGTGAGTGTGCATGAGCTTTCCTGTTCCTGTGTTTGCAGCAGTGCAGTTGCAGTCTGGGCATTTGCTCTGTTTTAGTAGTGGGATCAAATTTGTCAGTGTACAAAAAAACCAAAAATTAAAATTGTAGTTCTTATCCAGTATCAAAAACCTGATGACTTTAGAGGCCCCAAGATCTTACTTCTCGGTACTGCATGAGGCAGTGAGGAGTATAATTCAGAACTTCAAAAACTTTATCCAAACTATGCTTCTAATTTTATATACTCCATACTCTATACTACAATTTTAACTTCAATTCTAAGAATTTTGACTTTAAAATCAAACTTTTTATTCTCTGTCATGCTTTTTTCTTTCTTTTTTTTTTTTTTCTCTTTTATTTTTTCTGCTACTTTCTGCTTATTTCCATTCGAAAATTGCGAGTTAATCAATGCTTTGGAGGACAAACACTGGGAGTACTGATGGTACTGCTTTGTGAAATCTAAGTTTTAAACATGGAAGGGTGTTAATCAAATCCTCTTGTGGCACCACAGCACAAGTAATTACAAAATAACAATTTTTGGAACGCTTTCCTCTCCCTATTGCCTGACCAAAGCAGGGAGCTCTGGCCCAGCCAAATTCCCAATGACTTTAATGAGCAGCATAAATAAACTTTGGATTGCTTTTAATATGGCACTCATAAAGCAATTATTCAGTCCCTTGCCTCCACAGGATCGGGTTAGACGCAACCCAGTCAGGAGACTTCAAAGGAGGATGATGATCTTTGGAGCAAAAACAAAAAACTGCAGGTGCTGTAAAAAATCAATGTCCAAAAGAAAAATTCCTGGGTCTGACTTGCAGAGAAATGCTCAAGTTGTGGTGCAGCATTAGCTGTGGTGACACACTGTGGTGAGCATTTTCAATTGCCATCACTTTGCACGGGGAGGGATATTACTGAACAAATTCACAAATTTCCAAGCCTGCCTAAAGAACTCAAAAGGGGTGGGCCTGAGTCACAATCTCAGACAAAATGAAGCCTATTGACCCAAAACTTGATTCTAATTCAGCTTTGAAAAACAACCTCCA